TAATTCGGTTATTATTTAGGGATGAGAAAGGGGATAAAGTAGGTGCTTTTTTTTTTAGTAATAATAAAGTGTTAAGTTACTGTTAATACATATACTTGTTTAGAGGGAGGGGGAAGTCATCTTTTATATTCCTTTCTTTCTCTTTTTCCCTCTTTCTTTTTCTTTTTGTTTGTAGGCTTTTTAGTTTTGTATTAGTTTATATATATATAAACTTTAATAAAAATATTTTTAAAAATTGATGTTTTTGATGTGATTCTTCTGTGCATTAACAGAAAATGGGGTTTTTGAAGCTCTGAAGAAATAGTTCACATACAAAGAACCTTTAAAGAAAACCAAATCATGCATACAGCTTTTTAATGTAGTTAAAAAATTTTATTGTAATCATCTTCCCAGCTGTTTAGTAAATAAGATTTCCATGCAGATTCATCATTTTGAATATGACTTTTGTAGTTTCAGCAGCCTAATTATGCCAATTTAGATACTCGTATATATCTAATGGCTCTATTTTCTTTTTTTCCTAGTGGAGACAGGCATAATGTAAAAGTCAGAAATAACCAAACAACAGATACATGGATGGGTAGGGGATGATCAGTTCTATTGTTTGGTCTTTCTATCAACTGAACATTCTCTTTTGCTTGCCTAAAAGCAGTTTAAACAGATGTAAACATCTAAAAGAGTGTTATATAATGCTGCGGCTTCTTTGCAAAATAAGAGAGAGGTGATCCAAGTAATTTATTTCTATCATTCTGCAGTTAATCCCCCCTCCCCTCGTATTTGTGTTGATCATGATGGAAAAGCCTTGGCATCATGAAACATGATGTTTGTTTTTTAACCTCTAGCTAGAAAATAAAGTCAGAATCCAAAACTGGGTATTTTTCATATATAAAATTATTTTGGGGCAAATAGTCTTCAAAAACTAAGTTTATGACATGGGATATGAATCTACCATTTAAAGGAAGTTCCAACATGCCCAACCAAGGTCCTGCACATAGTAGCTACTTGGATCTTCCTTCCACGGCAATTTAGTCATATCTAAAAACTGGGCTTCCTCCCTGAAAAGAGTAAGCCTTACATTTCCCTAACATTTTTCTTCAGTTGGTTCAGAAGTGTAGGTGAAAATTCAAATTCAAATTATGGTCAGCTGGAATTGAAACCTTTTTTTCTGGAGCCATAACAGAGGCCAAAAGCAGATTTAGCTAAATCTTTGGAATATAAGCCACAAAAAGTTAATATTAGTTTTACTATAGGTTTACTACACATCTTATTCCTGGAAATAATTATAGTAACAAAAACAGTGTTGTTTCCAGGCTATTATTCAAATATTGTAATTTCATGTGAAATTCTTCTATCAATTACTTCCTTTGACTACACTACAACAGCCATCCTCACAGTTTCTGTTAATCACTTTAATTTTGATAACAGCAGCAAACAATTGCTTTCTCTTACTAAACTAGATGTGGCAAATTTGGGGCTCTCAACATCCTCCTTCTCTTCCCCTGTCACATTTATTTATCTATTAGTTATTTACTCCACTGCAGTCTGTACATATATGATAGAAGAGGGAGTCAATCTCTGTCTTGCACCATGAAAATATATTCCTTCCACATACTTTACTGCTTCATTGCAGATTTTAAGAACCACCCTCAGTTATGCAGGCTGATGAACAAACAAAAAGCAAGCAAACATAAAAATGAGTTTGTAAATAAGAATTACTATAAGGAAGTAATAAATAGAAGTTGATTTCTTTGAGAGAGACATAAAAATAATTTCCAAGGCTTTTTAATCTTGATTCTGAACACCTACTTTTGCTCTGCCAAAGAAAAGGGCACAATATTTAATTTTCAGAAAGAAGCCTAGAAGAAGATCAGGTTTATGGAGATAAATACTATCTATGTTATTAGCCCTCCTTCATCTTGGCTGAATTTGAAAAGCTAAGCAGGGTTCAACCTGATAAGTACTTGGATGGGAAACAATCAGGAAATCCCATGGCTGTAGGGTAGACTGGAAAGTTGAAAAAATATCCTGGAAGAAAACAATAGCAAACCATTTCCATATTGTTGCCAAGTAAACTAAATGAAAGTTTTATAACGTTACTAGGAATTAAACTCCACTACTTTTTATGAGAGGGACAAGCTGCCAATCTGTGTTTTCAATCATGTTTCAATATGCTTCCTAATTTTTTGGCTATTAATCTTGGATATGATTTCTGGGTCCACAATACCCTTATAATAGCTTATTTCTTTAGTAGAAAAATGCAAGAAAAACACAATTTAGTTTCTAGCACCTTGAATAACTGTTTTTGACCCATCACTTCATATCTTTCAATCTTTTTTGCCCAGATAAAACATAACCACTATGCAGTTCATCAAAATCTGATTTACAAGAGATTTCTTAAAGTTTGACACAACCAGCACATTCCTCCAAAGTGAAAAGGAAAACATTGAGCATGAAATCATCAAGATGAAAAGGTTGCCTGCACTGAGACTAAGCTGTAAACAAGTAAAATAAATTACTTTAAAAACAGTTTACTGTTTTACATTGCCTAGAAGGGTAGGTTTTTTAACCATGCATTTTTATCGCTTTTTGGCACTTGGGAATTTGTAACTGGTTTAATGTCTTAAAAATATTTTTTTGTTGTATTCACTCCAGTTCCATTTATTGTTTATCCCTTTTTCAGAAAAGATTGTACCAAAAGACTTACCATCGACAAAAAAATGGGACAAGCTCTGC